GTTAAATAGCCTAGGAATCCATCATCTAGGGATTGGAATTGGAAGTGATGAGTTCACCTGAGCAGGCGAAGACATGAGCTGAGGCGAATCAAAGATGTCAAGATACGGCGGCTTATCAGCGTTTAACGGACGACCGAGAAGTTTCTCAGGTGATTGCGCGGCAACGGAAGCGAGCTTTCATCACAAAAGCAATCGCCAAACGTCGCACATATCTTATCGTCGTAGTCGGAGTTTATCGTCGTAGTCGGAGTTTGCCGGATCTCACATCCAAGAAGATATAGTCGTGCTTCCTTGCGGTAGAATTAGGTAAGGGTACAATGGTATTTTATCTACTAAAATTTTAATGGTAAAGTTGATTAATGTATAAATGAAATGTGGTATCATGAAAGTGCTATATTTGGCAATTTCCCATAAGTCTAATGTGTTTATACACACGATACATAAAGCAAACATTACAATGTAGATAAGTCTAATATCTTGATATATTCTTCTACTAATAGTCTAATAGCACCTTTGACAACAAAAAAAAGTGTCTAATAGAATGAAAATCTAATGTTAAAATCGTTTTAAACATACCATAAAAACTCTATAAATTAATAATATTGGGGATTTGAAAATTTATTAATTTATAGAGATATTAATTTACAAAAGTTTTCTTATTTAGATTTTTATTTATTTTAAGATATATGTATTCTAAGATAAGAAAAATATTTGATTTTAGTGTATAGACATTAATTATTAATTTTTGAAATTTAACGTTTATATTAATTTTATTATATTATTTGGTGTATAGATATATTTCATAAAACTTAAATGTGATTTTAAATATAATATTACTAAACCTCATCAAAATTATAGTAAGTGTTAAGAAAATATAATATCATGTAGGTTCTTACCTATATAAAATATGTATACATATATATTATTAATTTATAATTTTAATGGGACTATATATTTACATAGAAAATTCTTAAAAAAATATTATTTTATTATGTAATCGATTTGTATCAAATTTTGAACCGGTCCAAGTTGGGACTGACAAAATTTATTAATTTATAGAGATTATTAATTTATAGAGGTTCTATTGTGGATAACATTTCTCAAAAAAAAATATACAAACCGTTTATGGGATACATATTTCAATAATTATATTCTTTTTGTCTCAGTTAAATCATGAACACAGTTACACTACCCAAAAAAAAAAACAATTGGGAAATTTATGTTATTTTTTAAGCAAAAAAAATACGGTTTGTGCTCGTGTGGTTATAATGAGCCTAAACGGTCCATCAAGCCCAATATATTGAACCAATTAAAAAGCCCATAACATAAAACCCAATGTCCACTACTCTAAAAAAAAACCCTAGCCTTTCATCTCACCCATATAAAACCCCACTCTCTCTCAACTCCACTCAAAATCCAGATCTCAGCAAAAAATGGCGACGGGGCAAAAGAAGAACAGGAAGAAGAGAGGCCACGTCAGCGCGGGACACGGACGTATCGGGAAGCACCGCAAGCATCCAGGAGGTCGCGGTAACGCGGGAGGAATGCATCACCACCGTATCCTCTTCGACAAGTACCATCCCGGTTACTTCGGTAAAGTGGGTATGCGTTACTTCCACAAGCTCCGCAACAAGTTCCACTGCCCTATCGTCAACCTCGACAGGCTCTGGTCGTTGGTTCCCGAGGAGTTGAAGGCGAAGGCAGGGAAGGATGGTAAGGTGCCGATGATCGATGTGACGCAGCATGGGTTTTTCAAGGTTTTGGGGAAAGGGCATTTGCCTGAGGGGAAGCCTTTTGTTGTGAAGGCGAAGCTTATTTCGAAGACTGCTGAGAAGAAGATTAAGGAGGCTGGTGGTGCTGTTGTTCTTACTGCTTAGGTTTGGTTTTTTTAATTGTTGTCTTTTTGTTTTTTTGTTGGACTTGGAAGTTTGTTGCGTTTTTGGATATTTTGGAATGAAAGATCTTTTAATTAATATTTTGTGTTTAAATGTGGTATTGTTAATGGCTTTTAGAATAATTTGCTATAGATTCTTTACTTGTTACGATTAGTAGTTGATCTGATTCATCGTTCTTAGGGATCATTGCATTGGATTATGAATTTTGAGTGTTAATAGTAATGGATTTTGCGTGTTAATAGTAATGGATTTTAATTCAAGTTTGAATGTGGTATTGATTTTGATTAGTCACATGTTTGATTTAGTTGTTGTTGATCTGATTCATTGGCGTGCTTGGGGATCGTTGATTGTATTACAAAAGTGTGGTCCTTTCATTCGATTTAATTTGCATTTTAGTTTCATTTTGCCTTGTTGTTATCATACGGTTTATTCAAGATTCCAAGTTAAGTTTCCTTTCACGTTCTTGTTTTTAATTAGTCTACACTCGTCATATGATTCAACGTTAGTCTCATTGCTCATTCTTGTTCCTATATGAGTCATTTAAAATTGCATGTTATTCTCATTTCGTGGTTTGTTCCTTGTTACTCTTCTACACTCAGGATTCCATGTTTGTCTCATTTCTTGTTTTCGTTTCTTGCCAGTCTTCTACACATTGTTTGTCACATATTCATTTTAGATTTCGTGTTCACTCGTTGTTTGCTACTCAAATCTCCATTCATTTCTGAAAGTATCAAATTCTTGTTTTAGTTTGCTCCACAAGTAGACGATGTATGCTTAAACTTCACTGCTCATATATTTCGTAATGTCATTCTTCAGTGACCATTTTTTTATGGTTTTCGCTAGTTGAATAGTCTGTAATAAAAGAGAAATGTATCATCATTCATCACTATCTAACTAATATAACATCACGAATAAAAACTGAAGCTTGAGTTGTCATGTTTGAATTAGAACCTGATATTACAAGCATCTTGAATCTACACACACACACAAGATTTTCCTCTCATATTTTCTCTCTTTTTTCATAAACCGAAATTAGTTGAAATTGTAGAAGTAGAACAAATAAACAAACCCATAAGATCAACATGTTATTTTTTAAAAATTTCTTTATCCGAAATCCACAATTCTCCTTAGTAAATCAAAGCTTAACAAGGGTAGCAAGCGCCAAGCAATTATCAGCCATTTTATACAAAACACCAGCTGATTTATAAACGACGTTAATCTCCTTACTTCCCTTCATAGCCTCACTGCAAGTATCATAATCCGTTAACGCAGCGCTAAGGTTAATGTTGAGGCTAAACCCATCATTTTCCTTAACGTTCTTAAGAGCCTTGTCCAAATTGTCAAACGCACTATTGAAGTTGGACAAACAAGTCGCGACTCCTCCGTCCAATACTTTCACCTCTTTCTTGGCGATATCTCTGGCATGTCTCGTCCGTTTCATTAGCTCTCTTATCGCCACATCCGTCGCTGCGTTCACATTCGTTTGACCTTTGATGGTGCCTCTGCATAATGCTGGAAAGTCTGTGACCATGCAGGGCTCGCTGAGAGGAGGCATCAACGTTGCTGCTGCGCTTTGGCATGAGGCGGCCACGAGGAGGAAAATCGTCACGACGGTGATGTTGAGACTTATTGCCATCGTGTGTTTGTGATAGATTAGGTTTGAAGGAGGTGAGCTAGTTTATATATTTGCATGCAAAATGTTTTGTTATATTTAGTAAGTTTTTGTGGAAAATGATCTGATTGAATTGCTACCGGAACATATCTATTTTGGTATGCTTGTTAGTTAGGTTACGATAATTGTTACTGTTTTGTTGTTCTGTTTAGGGGGGAAATATAAAGATTTGTTTTAACATATGAGTTTTTGTGTGTAACTGAGTTGAGTTTTTCAGTTACATGTACAGTTTTAGATCAGCCTATATATATACGTAACGATTAACTAAAAGAATGATAACATATGAAAATTCATCAAGTTTGGACCTCTCTGCTGACTCATAAAAATACTTAACTTTGTTATAATCTTAACAATAATAAGATGTATTCATCAAAGTTTGTTATGAATATGCCATTTATACTTTAACTTAAGGACATTAGTTGGATTATTGCGTACATATACTCCGTCGTCTTGAGCTTGCCAAAAGCATATACGTTAGGCTTCCTACTCCCACATACATCATTTACGAATCTCTCATTTCCAACAAATGCGTTAAATTTCACATGACGCACATAATTAGGTCCCTGAGTAAACATAATATAATTATAAAATAGAATTGGATTCACCATTACAAGCTTGAATAGTTGTAAATGATGGAAAAACCTCTATGGCAAAATACCTTCCATAAATTGCACCATATCAAAGTTTTTGGGTACACTTTAAATTTGACAGGAAAACTGGTATTGAAAGTAAGAAAATGAACCCCGATATTTGTTTCCTTCTTATCTCTGCAAGTGAACATTAGTGTTTTGTTACCTCCAAGCCTATTCATAACTTCAACATTAAAACGCCTAAAAAATAAAGTAGAATCTATCATTTGGATTGAGACGAAGAAGCAGAGGAAACATATTAGAACTTTTCCCATCTTTGTTTGTTATTTTTTTTTCTCTAAAACTTAATGTACTTATATACACGCATAATGAAACTCCATTTATTAGGTTAGTTATTTCAATGACTGTTATTTTTCCTTAATATCCTCATATAAAAAAGTTTGTTTGTACTAATCTTTCTGTCAAAGTCGTGTTCTATGTTAAAGATAATCTTATTATATAAAGAAAGGTTCTACTCCCTCATATTCCTCCACGTCACTAAATAGTGCAGCCTAAGAGAGACACGTGGCACAGGAACCAAAACTCTCCGTTTAACGTGTTTCCGTTTTAGTTTATTGGGCCTCTACTTAATGTTATAAGCCTTTTAGTTATTCACACTTCTCTCCGTTTAATGTGTTTCCGTCATCTTCTCTCAATTTTAGGGTTCATCACGCGAAAACATTCATATTCCCTCATTGGCACCAAAACAGTTCTTCTGGGTCCTCAAACGAAAACGATGGAGTTTTGAGATATCGATTGGTTCACATCAACGACACGTATCTCTTTCGTGATCTTTGATTGCGCCGTTCTGGTTACTCTCTTAAGAAGTTGAAACGCCTCGAGCCAGTACAACCACGTTCATTCAATGATAATTTATTCAATGATTCCTATCCATTCGAAGGCGGTGGACCACTAACTATATAGAGGTAAGGCTAACTCATCCTCCCTTTCATTCATCTCTGTAAATCTGCTATTAAATTTTTATTCCTAAATATTTATCTCTTCTTCTTCCAGGAATGTAAAAGGAGGCACGGCATACTCCTCCTATGCTAAGGTAATTTTGCCAACAAAAAAAAAATCAATCTCTTTAAAGTGTTATGATTTTAGCATGAAGTTCTTTAGTTGATGTTGTCCATATTTCTATTTGCTTCAACTTTTGGTTTGCTTGGTTATTACACATATTTGTTATTACCATTCCGCAAGGTCCACAACAAATCAAATGCTCCAACAAATCGTAACACAATAGTCGTTCAAAAAAAGTCATCACACAATAGAATAAATGTGCTAAGATATACAATACTGCCGTCTATTTTTATATGTACAAGTTCCCATCAACCATATCCAATGCTGGCAGCGCATTCTCTCCTTTCTCAAAATATGGTTAAGCAAAAACCTGCCTAAAAAGGCTAACTCCTCTCCCTCTCATCTTTTCAAATACTGATACACAATTGAGAAGGACAGTCTCTAAAAACTCCAACTCTCGGTCATGCTTGCCCAAAATACGACAAGGTACACTGCGCAATACATTCATTTTTAATTAAATTTGTATTAGAAAAACAGAATAACCACTGATATGTGTCTACCAATTCCTAGACTTACAGAAGATGAGTAACGGCAGCCATAGTTACACCACAACTATCTAGGCCCACCACACCAGAGAACTGATCGGCAAAATGCTAAAACCAATATTTTCATTCAGCTATTAGAACAAATAATGTTTCCCATAACACATATTTGGGGAATAAGCACGAAAAGTTCAGAAAAAATTATGGCCTGCAAAAGCACATTTGCAACTCCATCAAGGCAAGTACTTCACAGACATATATAGTATGCAGTACCCTTAACCTTCATTTTACTATTGAACACCCATCAAAAAAAAATCGGTTAAAATCTCTAACAATGTGAAGTTCATCACTTATTTGTAATATCCCACAAAATAAAACAATAAAAATATTTCTTTTAAAAAGTTCTAATTATTTTGGATGATATGGTTTATTAGATAATTATAAGAATTTGTAAATCTTTAAACAGTAATGTGTTATGTTTTAAGTTGGTTACAAATGATAGGTAAAATTTACTTTTTTCATAATTTAAAATATAGAAATCAAAGAGTGTATAAAATAAAATAAATATTAACAATATACAAAAGATAAAAAACTTATATGTTGATCTCAACTGTAATTCTCAGTAATACCAATACTAAAAAGATGTAAAATAGTTACAAAATGAAAAAAATTATTAGTTAGATACTATATAATTTTTTTTTAAATAATAAAAACAATTTTAAAATTATTTTCAAAATAAAAATTCTAAATATTTTTTTTCTTACTTTCCGCCCGTAGGGCGGGCCGGCGCTAGTATAATTATAAAGATAAGTTTAATTAGTGCATTTAAGCTTATGAATAAATGTGAAAGTTAATATAAATTGACTAATAACTCTAATATATCTTTATGTTAATATACATTTACTGTTGGTAATAAAATCATTCATATTTGCTATAAATAGCCTACCAAATAACTTATATTCTTCTTTTTTTGACATCACCTAATAACTTATATTGAAGAAGAAATTAAGTAAAAATAGAGAAAACTAGAAAGCCTAAGTTACAAAAGAAAAATAGAGAAAACTATCAAAAATCATAAACATATAAAATAAAACCCATCAAAAAAAATTATCATACCATCAAAAAAAAAAAAAAAAATTGTCATAAAAGTGGCATACTAATTACGTTAAAAATAATCTTATCATAAACTATGACAATCTGACAAACAAAAAATAAACATAGAAGAATAATGATATCTAATTCTTCTTAAACGATTACGGGCTTTACAACTTCGTGTGAGCCTAAAGCCCAAGAAAAATGTAAACCCTATTTTCACTGATATAAAAGCTCTTGCTAAACCCCACTTGCGTCGTCCTCACACCAAAAAAATGCAAATCTTTGTGAAAACCCTAACGGGTAAAACGATAACCCTAGAGGTCGAATCATCCGACACGATCGACAATGTCAAGGCCAAGATTCAAGACAAGGAAGGTATCCCACCGGACCAGCAGCGTCTGATCTTCGCCGGGAAGCAGCTTGAAGACGGGAGGACACTGGCCGACTACAACATCCAGAAGGAGTCGACGCTTCACTTGGTGCTCCGTCTGAGAGGAGGAGCGAAGAAGAGGAAGAAGAAGACGTACACGAAGCCGAAGAAGATCAAACACAAGCACAAGAAAGTGAAGCTCGCGGTTCTGCAGTTTTACAAGGTTGATGGGAGTGGTAAAGTTCAGAGGCTGAGGAAAGAGTGTCCTTCTGTTAGTTGTGGGCCAGGGACTTTCATGGCGAGTCATTTCGATAGGCATTATTGTGTTAAGTGTGGAACCACTTATGTCTTTAAGAAGCCTGACGAAGAGTGATCATGTGTTATGTTTTTAAAAAAAAATTGTGTTATTGTTTTGGAACTTAAAATTGGCAATGATTATTCAAAATCTTTTTTAGATGGTTTTGTTCTGTTGAGGTTTAGACTTATTTTACCACAGTTTTGTTCTTATTCAGTAGTTGCTTGAAGTCATTTATATTGTTTACACTGATGTGGCTTGATAGGAATAGGAATTTTGAATATTGTGACTTTTGATAAATAAAAGATTTGTATAAACAGTTCATCAGCTGGAACTAAATTGGTATATATTTCTTCCTCATACACCATTAAAAAAGAACAAAATTCAGCATAATGTTTGTGTTACAAAAAAAAAAAAAAAATTCAGCATAATGTGTTCAATCATTAACCATATTAGTTTTGAGCCAATGTATTTCTTTTTGTGTTGAAAATTTAAACATGTTGTGTTGATATGAACACATTTAGACTGATAATTATATATATTTCCACAAAAGTGTCTTAATATTGTTTTTTCCCTGAATCTGATCACTTGTTTTCTAAGATCGGCTAGACAATCTTAGATTAAATTTTCAACTTGTGGAATTTATTTCAAGAGTTTTCTTTTACATAAGCAGTGAAGTAGTGTTTGATATAGATTATGAAAAAGATACATAGAGGTTTTCGGACCGTTCGATTAGAGACAGACTTCTCAAACTTTATCCAGATGATCAAAATCTTGGCGATTGGCCTGTTTTGAAGAAAGAGTTTAGATATATTAGTATAGAGTACCATTAGAGTGTCTATCTATGTCTGTTATCTTCATCTATTTCTCGTTGTGAAAATGTATGTGCACTTGTGCAGAATCTCTTTATAAAAAGGTTAGAGCACGATGAACCTTATTTTTCGATGTAGATTATATCCGATGGTTCTGAGTTCCTGGAGTTGGTTGACAAAAGAAACAAAATATGAAAAAGAACAAGCGATAACATGGTGAACTCTTGAAATTTTAACTTGATCAATAGGGAGGAACCCCCGAAAATGTTTTAATTGTTTTCTGCTACTCACGTCAAAATGGTAAGAAAATTGTTGATTTTGGGCTTGGTTGATAAATAAAAAAGGGTTGTAGAAACTTGTGGTGTCTGGATTTGGGCCAATGAAATGGGATTCTTCTGCCCACTAATTATTAATAAATAAACGACTAGAAAACAGAGTAAATATTATATGTTAAGTCTTTGTCTTGTGGTTGAAGGCAACCTAGGAGATGAGAGTGAGTCAGAGAGCAGTAAAGGAGAGGGGCAGTGGAAAGTGGAAACAACAAGAAGAGAGAGAGCACTGAAACTTTAGTTTGGTTTGAGAGAGAGAGAGAAGACTTTGGGTAAAATGGTCAAGAAACAGTTAGCAAAATTGTGAGAGAAGGACAAAATCATAAGATTCTGAGTTACCAAAAAGTGATGAGGCTCCTTGAAACACCCGCACTAGTCTCAACTCATTGTACTTTCACTCTCAATCTCATTCCAAACCTAGACTCAAGACTTTGATGTGTTTGTGAGAGATTCATTAACTTCCATTTCTTTTGATCAATTCATTAACTCCCATTTAAAGAGACACCTACACATGAGACAAAGAGGCATTTCTTTCTCAACCTCATTTGTTTTTTGCTTTCTTTCTAACTTGCAAACCAATCCACACATACACACACCCACATCATTTATTACTTACCTCTCTTCTATCTGCTCTTGTGCATCGTGGCTTTCCATTTTTATGTTCATTGTAACCCTATACGTACTCTACACTGTCGGTTAAATATACATACATTGTGTTGTTATATTGTTCATTCTAGTTTAATCTTACAATAACCCATGTCATCTTGCGCCATTATATGCAGAGCCGGATCTATGATTTAAAGAAGCTATAGATATTTTAGGCTTATTTAAAAAATTATTTTTGTCACTCTATGGATCATGCGATTTATGTATAAAAGTTTCTTAAATTTGTGAGCCCAAAAACCGGCCTTAAGTATATAGATTTGTATAATATGACGGAACTCATATATGTTTTGTGTTTATGGCTTCTTAATGTGTTGTTACTTAAATTGTTTGGACAACTAAATCTCTATCCTAGTGATAAACTTTCAAAATGTCATGTATCACGTTAGTATATGTGTCTGACCTAAGTGAATTGTTAATGGTTATATTAAACGGGAACCGGATCTGAAACAAAGAAAAGTCAAGTGAATTGTCACCAGAGCTGGCCGTCAAAAAATATTGTCACTACAACTCCATCATCAGCAATACATATATATATATATATATAATCTACTATATTTATATTCTTTAGAAAAAAAAATGTAGTTTACTAAGGAGTTAGGAATGTAATTAATAGAAAAAAAAACATTTACTACTCACAGCTCATCGAGACGATGAGGATTCCAATTATTAGAAGTGTGATAGAGACGCACATAATATGAATTGATTAGTTCATTTTAGCATATAAATAACCAAAGTATTTTCACATGAACTATAATATATTTGCATTAATTGATGATTAACAATACCTATCTCTCTATATATACACACACCCACACACATATATCTCCTATCATTCATCGTACACACTCTCTCTATATGACAAAAATGCCCAACATGACAACACTCAACCAGCTGTTTGATCTGCCGGGGCAGATTTGCCATGTCCAGTGTGGTTTTTGCACCACTATTTTGCTGGTACATCTAACCTCTTCTCTTTCCCTCGCTTTCAGTCTATATATCCATAATCATACATGTCCTGCAGGTGAGTGTACCGTTCACTAGCCTGTCAATGGTGGTGACTGTGAGATGTGGGCACTGCACAAGCCTTCTCTCTGTCAATTTGATGAAGGCTTCCTTCATTCCTATCCATCTCCTCAATTCCCTTTCTCATCTTGATGAGGTTCCCATGAAATATAGATTATGCATTAATGTATATATGAATGGATTACTCTAATTTTTATTTAATATATGTGTGTAGACGGGAAAAGAGGAGGTTGCAGCGACAACAGATGGTGTGGAAGAAGAAGAAGATGAAGACGAGGAAGCGTGGAAGGTGAATCAGGAGAAGGAGAACAGTCCAACGATTTTGGTTACTTCTACAGACAATGAAGATGAAGAAACTCGTGTTTACCAAGTTGTCAACAAACGTACGTTTTGTTTATATATAGTTTGAGTTTCTTCAGCTTTGGTTTATTTCGATTTGCTCAACTGATGTTTTTTTTTTTTGCGTTGGAGTAGCACCTGAGAAACGACAACGGGCTCCTTCCGCTTACAATTGCTTCATCAAGTAAGAAATCGACCCAAGAAACTATGTTCGTTTATAAAATTTACATGTGTAAATGTAAGTTTTCTAAAATATTTAAAATGTTTTCCTATTGGGGGTTGAATTGGAGCAGGGAAGAGATCAGGAGGTTAAAGGCTCAGAATCCAAGTATGGCTCACAAGGAAGCTTTCAGCTTAGCTGCCAAAAATGTAACTAAAGTTTACTTAAACTTAATCCATGAAGAGAAAAAAGCCTAATTTGTTTTTCATACTTTAGTCAGCTAAATGGAGAGATCTAGCTGACAATTTTTTTGGTTGTGATTTCAATTTGTTTGATGTGGGATGGTGATGAAGTGGGCTCATTTCCCTCCAATGCAAAACAAGAGAGCTGCCTCAGATCAATGTTATTGCGAGGAAGACAACAATGCACTACTATCATGCAATGCTCTGGAGGTAATTTCAGCAACTAATTATGTCTTTACAACTCTTGTATCTTGTTTCAAAATCAATAGTCATATACTTGATAGCTAAACCAGCATGTATTTCCAGAGTAAACCAACTAAGCATTAACTAGATCCAAATAGCATCACTCTCAGTATAACTTTCAGAACCCTAGCTAGACTAATTATTAAAAGTATTTTATTTTAATAGAGTGAAATCAAGGAGAGGGGTGATGAGAATCATTGATCCTCAACTACTACGAAGTGTGAAATTTATGACCTAAACCCTTTTATAGTATTGAAGCTCACACTGCACACAGTTTACTTTTATAGAAACCCATTCAATTAGTTAAAGCATTCCAGCTGAATATATATATGTACATTTTCAATTAATTTAACTCGAGTTTAATTCATTGTTGAAATTAATGTTTGGAATGCAGGACCATGAGGTAAGCAATAATGGATTCCGAGAGAGAAAGGCTCAAAGACATTCCATTTGGGGAAAATCTCCATTTGAGTAATAACAATTTGGCATATGAAATGTGATGGTGACTATTTTCTTTAGGGTTTATCTTATCGGAGAGAGAAAAGATGGTAAGAATCTGAAACGTAAGTAGGATTTGGGTGTTCGAGGAGAGTCTTGGGAATGAGCGAGTTTATTTCAGTAATTTCGTACTTCTTAGCTTTGAACTTAATTTGAAGAGACAGTGCACTCTATAACCGAATCCTATTAATGAATTCATGACTACTTGTGTTTTAACATTCCATGAAACACTTTAGTAAGAAGCTTTGTTATAATTAATTTAACATCACAATGCACTACTATAGAGTAATGTTTCCAAATATTTATGTATTCATATAAACACGAAAATCATGAAACAGTCAATTTCATTAGAACATATATTATAATTCCTCGACTAGCTTCATCTTATATACATGGTGTTTGAAGATGCCTTCTTGAATGAAACAATAAAAATACCAAGTGAAGTTCGACTTACCTTGTATACGACAAATTTGGCACGTATCAATGTATCATACTCGAGTTCCTCCGGAAGGCCGATATTAATTAGATAATCTTACAACCATAAGTTTCGAATGCGGAATGCCCAATGTTATTCGAAACTCAGTAGAAGCAGCAGCAACTTTTTAATATCATATTAAGCAGCTGGATCCACGTTATGACACTCTCAAACACTATATAAAGGGAACATATACACTGGAAGCCTAAAATACTTTGAACTTAAATATTGCATATATAACATCTAATGCATTCACCATATTTTAACAATCGACTCTCGCCAATTCGATAAAAAACTAGTGGTGGCTTTACAATTAGAGTGTTTCTGCAGTAGGTCTTTTACTTTTCTGTTAATTTTCTTTAAGGAACTAAAGATTATGTTTTGTTAAAAAAACATAAAGATTTGGGATCCTAATTTTGGATTTACAATAATATAACAACAATTTGGGAAACATTTTATGAGCACAAGACGCATAAACTGAATGAGCGGGGCTGTAAAAGACAAACAAGAAATTCTTAAATTCTACACAAATAAGAGTAAGGAATATTAGTTTATCCTAGTTTTTTTTTGCTAAGAAGTTTAGTTTATCCTAGCTAGTTTGTGAGTCTGTGACAAAAAGAAGATCAGATTGCCTTAGTTTCATATAAATTTCTTATAGAATCAATATAAATCAGGTGAAATGATATACTTCTGTGGGTATTTTTACAACTTGTCTCTTAATTATTTTGTTTTCAAAACATTTTGTATTAACAAAGCATTTCTGTAACAACTACAACTACAAATCGTTTTGTTCGCACGTTTTCCTCATCTAACAAGAGGGGCAATTGCGTACATATCAGTACGTGGGTCCGTTAAACAATTTTTTTCTTTCAACTTCCCCAATAAAAACAAGCCACGTCATGATCCTTCTGTCGTCACCGATTGGATAACGACCACCTCAGACGGTGTCGGAGAAAGTTTCATTCCCCCACAACGCAAGTGGCATTCGCGTAGATAAATTCATAATCAGTGGGCGTTTCATCGAGTCGTTTGCTTATAACAAAAAGTCCACCGCGAAAAGAAAATAAATGCGATTCGCCCAGTAGAAGAAACCAAAACTCAATTTCCACACCTCTTCTTCACACAACCCACAAGTCATCAAAACACACACATAAAGCCTCAATCTTGTAACCTTTTTTTATTTATCTTCAATCAAATATTTCGAGAAAAACCCAGGTAACAAAGATTCGATCTTTAAATCATCAACAAAGAATATGATTTGGTCTGCTTAATATTGTATCTTTGATTAATTCTTTATTTTTATTTTTATTTATGTTTTCAGGTATGGGTTCTGAAGGGCCAAAAGCGATTACAATCCATGTGACTGGTTTCAAGAAGTTCCTTGGTGTTTCCGAGAATCCTACTGAGAAAATAGCTAATAATCTGAAGTCTTATGTGGAGAAACGAGGAGGGTTGCCTTGTGGGTTGAGTCTTGGTAGCTGCACTGTTCTTGAGGCTGCAGGGGAAGGTGCAAAGTCTCACCTTTATCAGGTTTTGGAGTCTAATGTTGCTGTTGTCTCTGGTGATAAGAACAGTAACGAAACTGTTGTTTGGGTGAGAAACTCTCTCTTACTAATTGTAGTTGTGCTGTGTTTCCTCTTCAGTCTTCACTGATTCTATGTCTATTCATGGTTCTTGATTGTTTCTTTACATAATGTTAAATGCTCTCTTGTGTCTAACACCTTCTGCTTCTCACTTGATGTGTTTTGTGTGTTTTTTTCTGATGGTTTAGAGATCTAAAAGACATGTCTTTTTGCTCTTTGATTGTTGTGCTTGTTTAGCTTCATCTTGGAGTGAACAGCGGAGCTACAAAGTTCGCCATTGAAAGACAAGCAGTCAACGAAGCTCATTTCCGTTGTCCTGATCAGTTAGGCTGGCAACCACAGGTAAAACAGTTCACTTTCTATTACAAAGAAACATATTTAAACCCTATAAAACACTAACTTACCCTTTACCCAACACTTCTTTACACAGCGGCTTCCCATAGTTGTTGAAGATGGAAGCATTTTAAAGGCCAAAGAGGTATACACTTCATAGAAGAACTCACAGTTTATTATTATGTTTCAACATTCTAACTTGTTGTCTGGTGTGGTATAGACATCATGTTCGACAGAGTCTATTTTCAACTCACTGAAGAACAGAGGATTCGATGTTGTTCAATCAGACGACGCTGGACGGTTTGTGTGCAACTATGTCTACTATCATTCTCTCAGGTTCGCAGAGCAAAAGGGACACAAGTCTTTGTTCGTTCACGTTCCTTTGTTCTCCAAAATCGATGAAGACACTCAGATGCAGTTCGTGGTCTCTCTCTTGGAAGCCATTGCAGCTACTTGCTAGTGTTTATTATGTAAGTATTATGTACATCCTTGATCCTTCTACAAAGCATTGTAGTAGCTTGTGATATAGAAGATGATTGCTTTTGGCTTTGGAAACTTTCTGTATCTTGTAAAGCACGTTTATAAAAGAAGGAGCCTGTTGTGATCGCCTGTGTAATAATAAAATAAAATATCTTTTATTCATAATGTCAAAAAGTTAAAAGAGTTTTTCTAATGATGGATACTTGTTGAGCAAGGAAACAAAGTGTCAAACGTGGAATGTCCGTACGAGATGTTGTATCTCATGGTCCTCTTATGTTCTGAGTGTATGTAGTGGTGATGAATGGTTATGCAGAAAAGGAATTCAAGTTCACCGCAGTGTTGGTCTGCACTTGTTGGTCTCTGACTCTCTATGTTTCTTTGCTTTGAAGTTGTTTTTCAAGTCTTCATGTCCAGTGTGGTCTAATTGTAATCGACATGTACGGCAAATGCAATGACATTGAGAGTTCTGCGTCGAAGAGCGCTCAGAATGTAGTATCCTGGAAGAAGGTGTATATACATAATGTCTGCTTTTCGATCGTCAGAACCACAATAACGTCTAAAGATCTTAAAAATAGCATACTGATGTTAAAAAAAATGTTGAGATATATAGAGGGACTCCTTTTCTCGTTTTGTTTTTGCTTTTATTTCAGATCTCATGTGACCAACATGTATAAAGAACAAGTTGACCACGAAGAATTTGTGTTGTAAAAGGTTTTGGAGTAAAGCAAAGAAGTGGTAAAGCACATGACTTGTGCTTTAAGCGTAGATATAGTAGAAAACAAGGCCTCTTCTTCATTTACTTTAAAGCAATTAACCTCATTTAATTAATATTCATATCAATTGAAACCAAAAACCAATCATCTCTGCAAAGAAACCTCATTAGTGTTTTTGATTAAAGCATATGATGAATAAGCTCTTCATTCTTTCCGTTATTGGTCTGTTAATGCTAACTGCTTATGGAGCTGCAGCCAAAACGGTGTACACCGATCTCGACATACTCAAGAAGCTTGAGAACTTTGACATACCAGAGGATGATGATGATGATTATGATACAAAGCTCTTTGATTTGCCGTCATTCACAAGCCGATGTTCTGATAAGAATCTGGTGAATGTGGATTCATTTGGTGCAGCTGGAGATGGTGTTTCTGATGATACTCAGGTTTCTTTTGAAATCACTTTATCTATAGATTTTAACATTTAATTAATTTATGGCATAACCAAAGTCGTTGTTGTGTAATGCTTTTCTCAAATAAGGCATTCAAGAGCGCATGGAAGCAGGCCTGTGGTACCCCAAAGTCTGTGTTACTTGTACCACAAGGAAAAAGCTACTTAGTAAATGCAACAAAGTTCATTGGTCCATGTGAGCGAAAACTGATCATTCAGGTCTAGTTTTAGCATTTTAAGTCCTATACTGTTTTTTATTCATCTTATGAACATTGTTATATATACAGAACAATCATAATTTCAGAAATTTTCTTACAGATTGATGGAACAATAGTGGCACCAGACGAGCCTAGAAACTGGGACCCAAAGTTCCAAAGAATCTGGCTAGAGTTTTCGAAGCTCAAAGGTGTTGTGTTCCAAGGGAATGGAGTTATAGATGGTTCTGGCAGCAAATGGTGGGCTGCTTCTTGCAAGAAAAACAAATCTAATGTATCCAATCTTCTAAGCTTTCTTTAAAAACGTCTCTAATCTTCTATCAGATTCTAACAACATCTTTCTTGCAGCCTTGCAAAAGTGCACCAACGGTAAGAAACCATTTCCTCTTCTTGTTAGTCTTCTGTTTCATCTCTAACTGCTTGTTTTTTCCATGCAAGGCCTTTACTATAGAATCTAGTTCAGGTGTGAGAGTACGTGGCTTGACGATCCAGAACAGCCAGCAGATGAACTTCATTATTGCAAGGTCAAATTCAGTTCGAGTCTCCAAAGTTATTGTCTCATCTCCAGGAGATAGTCCCAACACTGATGGTATCCACATCACTGGATCTACCAATGTTGTCCTTCAAGACTGTAAAATCGGCACAGGTTTTTATTCTTTTTCTTAACCAAAACATGCTAAACTCCAACTATTGATGTACTTCTCTTGAGATTGGATCAAACAGGGGATGATTGTGTCTCCATTGTGAATGCAAGCTCTAATATGAAGATGAAGAGGATCTATTGTGGACCTGGACATGGAATCAGGTAACATCAGCATCAGGTTTCTATAATTAACATTTTTTAAAAATCAAACTATAATTCTTTGGAATTTCTAACAGCATTGGGAGTCTTGGGAATCACAACTCAAAAGGGATTGTAACAAAGGTTGTGTTGGACTTTGCGTTCTTGAAAGAGACAACTAATGGACTCAGGATCAAAACATATCAGGTAAATAAAGAACTCAAAAGAGCTTCAACACTGTACTCTTATAAACTTATATTAAGTTTGATACTTTAAACAAACTACAGGGAGGTTCTGGTTACGTTAAAGGTGTTAGATTCTCAAACGTTTTGATGCAAGACGTCTCTAACCCTATACTCATTGATCAGTTCTACTGTGATAATCCAACTTCATGTCAAAACCAGGTTTCTTTACTTACAATTAAAAAAAAAAAACTCAAAGATGACAATTAGCTCAAATATGTTTGGTATAATGTAGACTTCAGCAGTTAAGATCAGTCAGATAATGTACCGGAACATAATCGGAACAACCAAAAGTGAGAAAGCCATCAAGTTTGCATGCAGCGACGCGGTCCCTTGTAGTCACATTGTTCTCAACAATGTGATACTTGAAGGCAAAGACGGTCAAGTGGAAGCCTATTGTAACTCAGCTGAAGGTTTTGGGTATGGAGTGATTCATCCCTCTGCGGATTGTCTGTATTCCCACGATAACAAGGACTTGAGTGACAAGCCAGGACCTGGTTTAGTAAACAAGGAAGCTGAGACTGGCCATGATGAGCTCTGATTGGTGGTGGTGTTTTAAGTGTTGTAGTGAGGGATGACATGTGTGATGTAGTTTTCTGAAGCATATGATATAGTGTGAGGATGATACAGTATGTGTAATATAGTTTTCTGAAACATATTTGCAGACATTGCTTCTGCCAGCATCTTCTATGCAGATAAAACAGAAATAACTGATTCAAAAACTGAATTTATGTGTTTTATAATTTATAAACATTCATGTCTAACGGTTTTATTTATGTCATCTCAACCACTCATATTTATTTGTGTTATATTGCTGAAGAGTTTATCTAAGTTTTCTCTAATAATTTTGTAAATAACTGATAGCAGAATTCAGTTTCAAAATTCTAATTTTTAGTGCCAAAATGTTAATCAAACCAGAAGTTTACAAACACAATAATTGAATTCTAGAAAACAAAAGCGAGAATCTACAAATACGAGTCAAAGCATCAACAAACATTGATCATTACGTGTCAACTCCCGATTGGTCAGATGCAATCGACGGCCAATCATCGATCACCGAAAGTAAACCGCGTAAGCTCAAGCCACCACATCCACGAATAAAAACATTCCGCAAACCAGTCTCTAAAGGGTACTTTCGGTACTTCAGGCGCTCCTATTCGTGAATTGACGTTTTCATCCTTCGTCTCTATAAACACTACAGGCGTCGCGCATTTAGCGTTCTTCTTAAGCTCTCTCTCTCTCCTTCTCTTTCAAACTCCGTTCTTCGCCATCGTCTCTCTCTGTATCAGATAATCTCCGAAGAGGTACTCTTGATCTAGATCTATGCTAACGCATTCTCAATTTCGAAACAATTTTTGCAGATCACGTTCTCATTTTCTAGTTTGAATGGTTTAGGAATCGAATCGTCTTGCTTTGATTTAGGCTTTACGCTGCTGATTCATTGAGTTAATGCTGTGAATTCATGATTCGATCTGCCACTGCAACGTAGTCTAAGTCTGGATCTATGAAATTTTTTATCATAAATAGATTCTGATATTCTCAACGTTACGATCTAATACGATCTTGAGCTGCATCTGTTTCGATCTGCCTTCTCTGATTGTAGTTATGTTTGTTTAGAGCGGTAACAAGTGCTTTCGTAATTTCCTTATGCATTGCATTGTATTAACGCTACTCTGATGCTTCATATAGATTTTGTAATTTTGTAGATTCATTAGGTTTCGTGACGTTGTTTGCATCTGTTTGGATCTATAAGTTCTTTTGTAATTGGTTTATGCATTGACTAATCTGGTTTTTTGTGTGTGTCTTTGTGGTTTGAAGGATGGGGTTGTCATTCGCGAAGCTGTTTAGCAGGCTATTCGCCAAGAAGGAGATGAGGATTCTCATGGTTGGTCTTGATGCTGCTGGTAAGACCACCATTTTGTACAAGCTCAAGCTCGGTGAGATCGTCACCACCATCCCCACTATTGGTAAGTTCTTTCTACAGTTTAGAAGTAGCTTAGCAATTGATGTATGTATTTTCTGTCAGTTATTTTTATGCTTTCACCGTCCTTGATGATTGGAATACAAAATTTGTGGACAGGTTTCAATGTGGAAACTGTGGAGTACAAGAACATCAGTTTCACTGTGTGGGATGTCGGGGGTCAAGATAAGGTATAATCTTTTATCTATAGCAATTCAGAAGTTTTGGTTTTGCATCACTACCTGTGGATCTTTTTCCCCTTGTGTCTTGGACTCTTGGTATAACTGTTTATGAGCTTTTTGTACCACATATACTGACATGGCGTAAAACCTGTACTTGTTGTCAGATCCGTCCCTTGTGGAGGCACTACTTCCAGAACACTCAAGGTCTCATCTTTGTGGTCGACAGCAATGACAGAGACCGTGTTGTTGAGGCTAGAGATGAACTCCACAGAATGCTTAATGAGGTCTTTTTCCATTATTGTCTGCACTTTTTCTCTCTCTTGATTTGTGGTAAGACTTGACTTACCAAACACTCTTTTATTGGGGTTGACAGGATGAGCTGCGTGATGCTGTTCTGCTCGTGTTTGCTAACAAACAGGATCTTCCTAATGCTATGAACGCAGCTGAAATCACTGATAAGCTTGGTCTCCACTCTCTCCGTCAGCGTCACTGGTATTATAATAAAACCATCTAAATCTTTCCCTAATCCCTGC